TTCGCGAGCGACAACCAATAGGAGTGAAGAATCTGTCAGTGGCGCTCACACGTCACCGTCTCGAGTGCAGGCAAGACGGGACAGATTTCCTGATGCGTAGAAAAGAAACTGTTGGCTGTTGAAGTGAGTTTGATGCATACATTGATGGTTCGAGTTGTTATTTATATGATGCAGTGAGCAGTTTAGCTCCGGTTAATGATTTAATGCACGGGCACTGCTGTAGTTTATATAACAACACTCTCCAACAGCAGAATGCTACTTTTATTTCTTTTAAGTCTAATTCCTAGTCAAGCGCCGGAAGTGATCTCTCGCGCGTATACGTCACTCATTGTTTACACAGTGCACAGTCATTGTAGGTACGACGGCTAATCAAAATGGTACTTACTTGCGCTTATCCGGATTGTTCAATCCGACTTAAAACTAAAAGATTACGTTCTCTCGCGCTAACTCATTCGGGAGTGGTGACTTTCCATGTATTCCCAACTTCTGAGCCTGCTCGCCTGAAGTTATGGTTGATTGCTCTTCGGCTGGATATCAACACACCCTTTAACGTAAACTACGCCAGAGCGCGTACACACCTAGCGCATCGGATGCCGTGCGTGCGCCCAAAGACAGTTGGACATAGTGGTGTATTAGAGGTAAAAAAATGATATAAATACTGTTCGGTTTCTGGCACAAACCGATCGTTTCGTGTCTTAGGACATCAATGTGTCGTCACGAGCCGCAGGGTTTAATTTGGATTTGTCTGTGCATGTTTTTTTTACTCTCATAGATTTTGTTACCATTGCCATGCATTATACGACTGATAGACTGCAACGGTTAAAGTTAAAAATCATCGTATGTGTTCTACTGAAGAAACAAAGTCACCTACATCTTGGATGCCCTGGGGGTAAGCAGATAAACATCAAATTTTCATTTTTAGGTGAACTATCCCTTTAAGCAGGGCTCAGGGCAGAAATGCCATTGCCGCTGACAAAAAACTGTGTGGGTAAAAATTTCCCTCTTTGTGAATTCCAGAATGTGTTCTTTTTATTTTTTTATCTATTTTTTTTAATTTTTTTTAAGTACATGATCAGATTTCTAGCATTTAAATTCAATTTTACAATATATTAAAATTAGTGCTGTCAGTCGATTAAAAATATTAACTAATCACACTTTTTTTCTGAGATTAATCGCGATTAATCCCACCTAACGTTAAGGTTTTTAAATGCATCACTGATACCAATACTACTGATCTCTCTAGGAAATAGTTCTTTTTTTCCTCGTATTTAAACAGACTATAACCATTCAGCATTACAGTATAATTAAGGGCTATCAATTTTAACATTTATTAGACTTTAAAAAATAACAACTAATTTAAGTGAACTTAAAACAATCTTCACATAAACCCAGTAAATGTCACCTGTGCCCTTCAGCAAGTATAGAAAATATAATTTAATAAAGTTATCAAACACTAAATTCTAAATTAAATAGAGATAAAGCTTAAAACTACAGAAGTTATTGATTTCCTCTTTTTTATTTTGTTCTTTGATTAACAGACATCACTATGGAAGCCTGTTTCCGCCACTGAATAAAAAATAAAAAAGGTAATTGCGACTTATCTCACAATTCTGACTTTTTTTCTCGCAATTGCGAGTTTACATCTCAGAATTGCGTCATATAAACTCACAATTCTGACTTTTTTTTCTCAGAATTGTGTGATTTAAACTCATAATTGCAAGAAATAAAGTCAGAAATATAAACTTAGTTATAAAGTCCAGTTTTAAGGAGAAAAAAAAAAGACTGATATGTTCTCAGAATTGCGAGTTTATATCTCACAATTCTAACTTTATAACTCGCAATTGCGAATTTATATCACGCAAATCTGAGAAAAAAGGCAGAATTGCGAGCTTGTATCAGGCAATTGTGAGATGTAAACTTATAATTGTGAGAAAAAAAAGTCAGAATTGTGAGATAAGTCGCAATTTTTTGATTCAGTGGCAGAAACGGGCTTCCATACATCACAGCAGCTGGTTATTAGGATATTTTGGCTGCTACTTTAAGAGCTGCCGCTGCTGAACTTGATGCGGATCTGATACTGCTTTAAATGTGACTTTTAAGGCAGCTTTTAATCACCTTTTTTGTAACTTCGTGACTTAACTGATGACATAACCACGACATTACATGCTCAGAGTTTCTTTCGTGCTTTGAAATGAAATGATACATGCATATATATGTAGATTGCACCTCATACTGGACTACATTTCCATAATTTCTTCCCAAATAATTTTTTTCCAGATTCAGGCGTCATCTGTTGTCCACACAGTAATAACGACAGGTGTGTGGAGTAACTCACCTCCCTGCGTGCCGCCCCGTGTGCTAGGACGTTCTTCTCTTTGCTCAGCTCTTCCTGTATCACCCTCTGCAGGAGAGGAGCATTTGGTCCCCGCAGAACAGACACCAGCTGCCCACCCTACAACATGACAACACCAGCCCATCATGTCCAGCAAACAGATCAGGTGTGAACACCATCTCACTGCAACATGTCACTTTCACAACAGCACATATTTCAAAATTAAGCCTGTTTTCCACTGAAGCTTATTTCCACCATGGAATAAAAGTATAAATAAGGTAATTGCAACTTTTTATCTAAGAATTTTGACTTTTTCCTTACAATTGCGAGTTTACATCTCACAGTTCTAACTTTTTCCCTGAATTCTGAGTTTATATCTCACAATTCAGACTTTTTTCTCAGAATTCTGAATTTACATCTTGCAATTCTGGGTTTTTTTCTCGCCATGGAATAAAAATATTAAACTTGATTACTTTTTTATCTTACTACTTTTTTTTTTTTCTCTTGCAGTTGCAAGTTTACAGCTCCCCACCCTACAACATGACAACACCATCCCATCATGTCCAGCAAACAGATCAGGTGTGAACACCATCTCACAGGAACATGTCACTTTCACAACAGTACATATTTCAAAATTAAGCCTGTTTTCCACTGAAGCTTATTTCCACCACTGAATAAAAGTATAAACAAGGTAATTGCAACTTTTTATCTAAGAATTCTGACTTTTTTCTTACAATTGCGAGTTTACATCTCACAGTTCTAACTTTTCCCCTGAATTCTGAGTTTATATCTCACAATTCAGACTTTTTTCTCAGAATTCTGAATTTACATCTTGCAATTCTGGGTTTTTTTCTCGCCATGGAATAAAAATATTAAACTTGATTACTTTTTTATCTTACTACTTTTTTTTTTTTCTCTTGCAGTTGCAAGTTTATATCTGTTTAAGTTCATATCTGACAGAATTATGAGATAAGAAGTCAGAATTACCTTTTTTAATTTGTTTTCCCCCCCGTGGCTCAAATAAGCTTCAATAGCTTTAGGACTATTTAATAAATTTTATTTGTTTATTTGTTTGTTTGTTTACTTTTTTATTTAAAATTTTTTTTTTGCATTGTTTCCCATTATTTCCAGCACAATTAAGCACACTTTTCCCCGAAATGTAAATTATTATAATGCATCCAGATGTTTTACTTTTGAATTTGTTTTTAAATAATTACAATTATTTTACCTCTCATTAAACTCTATTACTTTAAAACAGTATTTTATTTATATCGGCATAAATTAATAGCAGTGCAACTGATACCTCTATGATATATAAATCCTTTACAATTTAAATTATATATATTAATAGTTTTATCACATCACAGTAATGAGATTTGGGTAAAATGTGCTGAATTGTATATAATTGTGTATTATGCTGAATAATGCATACAATTTGAATGCAGTCATCTTTGTCTATATGCAAAATATGTTTTCTTCTTTTGTTCATTTATTTTGGAGTGAAATCTGAATTAAGAATTAAGTCTGTTTCCTTAACAGGTTTTGCGTCATGTACCCATGTATTATTTGCCTATTTTAACTTGCATTCAGTTTCAGACCCACCGCATAAAACAGAAAGGTGGGCTCACACTTCCTTCTGTACTTCTCCAGAGCTTCAATCCCATCAGCCTCAGCCTGCAGGGATGATAAGACGGCGTGACAGAAATGTCGACCTTTAGAATGATTGTTTGTGTGCAATCTAATCTCCAGAGCGGCTTATCTTACTGTGGCAAAATGCAGCAGCTCGTCTCCCAGCTCATTCTTGATTTTTCTAAAGAGACTGACGACGGCGCGGCAGGGTCCACACCACTGCTGGTACACATCCGCCACTGACACACACACAACAATCACCACTGCAAAACTCAGACTGCACTTACAGACTTTTGCAGCTCTGCTTAACGTATAAGAAACCAGACAGACAGACCAGCAGAGAGTAATGAGACAGAAAACTGTTTCAACATCTGTGCTGCACAGTTTCTTTGTGTACAAAGCAGAATCTCAGTGTGATCAAATGTTGCTGATCTTTTCTCTTCACTTTTCTTCACTGTTTTTGTCAAAAGTTTTTAAGTATTATTGCCACAGTTGATAGATAGTAAAAACGATATATAAGTTAGATAGAGAGAGAGAGAGAGAGAAAGATGGATAGATGGACAGATAGAGAGATGAATAGATAGAGAGAGAGATGGAGAGAGAGACAGACAGACAGACAGACAGACAGACAGACAGATAGATAGATAGATAGATAGATAGATAGATAGATAGAGAGATAGACAGATAGAGAGATGAATAGATAGATAAAGAGAGAGATGGATAGATAGAGAGAGAGAGACAGACAGACAGACAGACAGACAGACAGACAGACAGACAGACAGACAGACAGACAGACAGACAGACAGATAGATATATAGATAGAGAGATAGAGAGATGAATAGATAGATAAAGAGAGAGATGGATAGCTAGAGAGAGAGAGATAGACAGACAGACAGACAGACAGACAGATAGATGATTCACTCACCTATTAACCCTTTCGTTGCCAAAACTTCACCCCATTGATCGTCATTATTGATATTTACCTGCATTTAAAAGTTTTCAAAAGTTTTCATGGATTTTACAGTTGACACACAAAGTAAACAAACTATAAAACTACAGTCAGACTCAGACCCACTTTCCCCTCATGTACAGTTTAATGCTGATTACAGTCACAGATACTGATGACAAACCTGTAAACTGATCTCCTTCTTTTTACCAGCCATAGAAATGCCTTTTTAAGAATAAAAAATAACGACACGCTTAGCTAATGCAGTAATTATAAGATCGCTAATTCGTTGTTTTTCTTTCCACAAAGTTTGAGCGCCGGACAGTATCAGCGCATGCGCAGCAGGACTGTTTTGCGTCCTCGTCGCCTAGCAACCGTTTATTCAGCGTTTCACCGCCACCACCTGCTGGACGGTGCGTGTATTGCAGGTTGTATGTATTATTCTGTGTTAACTGTCGGATAACACCACCAACACGTTGGTGTCACTTATAAATATGCACTGTGGTGATGTTGAATGCTAAATCCATGGTACTGAATGTTTATGTATATTTGTTTCTGTTATGTTGTGTAGAAACGGATCTTGCTCGTTTGTGATGTTAGTGGTGCTGGACTGGTTATGTTATGAAGAGCTGTTGTTTCTCAAAGGCCTGCATTCCTCCATCATAAAGCTGCTCCAGGAACACATTCAGCTTCAACAACAGCAAACACTGCAGATTCCAGACATACTATTAAACAACAGACTCAAGATGTGTGTCTCATATCCGTCATATCTGGCAGGAAATAGTTCATCTGGTTAGAATATATAAAGAAAATAAGAGACATATTACACACAATGTCAGGTCCAGGTCACATTTCACCCAAAAATCAAAGAAAAACATTAGGCTATATTTTGCATAAAGAAAATTAATTTGCAACCTTTTAATTTTAAAGCATGTTTAAGAACCTATATATTTTTTTAGACATTATTTTCATGACAGTTAAGTACATTTCACCCTTAATTAGATATATTGTTGTCTCTTCACTGTTTCCCAGCCTAAATTTGACTTGCATATAAAGTGTCCATCCATTTGGATTACACAGTTTAAACGTAAACTAATAAAGTTACTATGTGATGCATATTTGTCAGTAATGAAACTATTAACAGAAAAAGTTTATTATTAACTATTGACATAGTTTATTATTAAATCTATTTAATTTTATCATATTTTCAAAATGCATTTATTCAAACTGCTTCGAATCAGCATCAATCGGTTCATTGTGAAAACAATTAGGCTACAATTACTCATTTCTAAAGTATGAAGATGGTTAAAATATGACTAGCTGTGGAACAGGCAAATGTATGAGACTTAAATTAATTTTTTGATGATAAATATATAAAACTGGTTATTGTAACTTTAAAACGCATTCAGTTTATTAGTTCTATTACAGAGAAATCTGACCTGTTTCATTTATGTGTGACTGACAAAAATGCATCACATCAAATGTGTTACTTTGTTTGTTAAAGCTCTGTAATCCAAATGGACAGATGCAGTTCAAATTCAAAACTTAAAACTGAAATAAAATTAATAAAATCCATACAGACATATTAAAAAACAACAATAGCCTAATAATAAAAAAAAGCAATAATGAAAATGACAAAAGCACACAACAAAATGAACAAAACTTCAACAAAAAAAAAAACTAATTCAAAATATTAAAACAAAACTATAATTGTATCTCAAGAATAACAGCAAAATCCAATATGCTCATAAGCATTAGAAGTATATATCATAAGTGATTAGAAGTAGTAGGCCACAAGAGACTGTGTGGTACAGTCATTTTATCATGCTGTCCCTCTTAAATGGTTGTAAATAAATCTGCTTTATAAAGCAAGATATGCTGCACCTCTCACTGCCAGTGTTGGGGAAAGTTACTTTTAAAAGTAATGCGTTACAATATTGCGTTACTCCATAAAAAAGTAACTAATTACATTACTTAGTTACTTTTTATGGAAAGTAATGCGTTACATTAATTTTGCGTTACTTTTTAAATCTGGACAGGGCTTGCTTGTTTGTTTTTAAAATAAAAAAGTTATATTTTTGGCAAATATAAAAGCCTTTTCACACCAAAAGTGAAATGAATAAGCCTCAGGCTGAAGGGAAAGTACATTTACGTCCGTACAGTAGAATGCAGAAGAAGAAATGTCAACACACATCAGCAATAAAAAAAAAAACACAAATGTTTGTCTAGAGTCATTTTTGCTTATTAGTATGGTTGAACTGGATCATCGAAGGTCAGAAGCAAAGACATTGGTTAATAGAATGGGATTAAATACATAAAGGATATTTGTGTTGTTTAACATTTAATTATTGCAGGTTTGCGTCATATTCTGAGTTGCATTATTTTTATTCATTTTGAGGAATATCAGTTTTTTTATTTTGTGAGTGAGATGAATTAATGCATATTCATATTTATTTTAGAACTACAGTAACATCTTCTGATTTCTCTCAACATGGGGACAGAAGAGCTGTTAATCAATAAATTGGAGGAAAAAAAAGTAACTTGCATTACTTATTTGAAAAAGTAACTCAGATATTCTCTTGTAAATTAAAAAGTAATGCGTTACTTTACTAGTTACTTGAAAAAAGTAATCTGATTACGTAACTCGCGTTACTACCCCCAACACTGGTCAGAAACAGAAAGTTGCACAGATAAATTAGATACATTTCTAGTCATAATGCACAATAAATTGGAATCACGTCAGTTTTACATGGTCTTTTTTATTATTGGCTGATGTTGTATGTGTAATTGTTAAATCTTATTTCTGAAAACTTGTAGAAACATACAGAAACAGGGAAGCGAGACATGAATATATTCCAACAAAAAGCAATTATAAAAATAAAAACAGAAAACAAATATTCTGTATTTGCATGTCAAATTAATTATTATCGATACATAAAAGTGCAAAAATAAACTTGTTTTTTTGCTTTATTGACGTGACAAATATTGTCGTTCCACGCAAGCGCGTTGTCCGTGACGTCAGTGCGGTTTGGCGCGTATAAAAGCGCGGGAATGGGCGGGGCTGCCTGGCAGAGTGTTTGTGAGAGAAGCTAGCAATGGCGCAACTTTCTAAAACTGGAGTGAAAAACACGCTCAAAGCTGGTCATCCTCCCGCAGGTTTGGACTTTTGGTTACATATGGAACTTCTAAAGTCGTTTATACTCTTTTAATGTTGACTTCTTGTGTTATGTTTTATTAATTGATAAGTGTTTATCGCTGCATTATTGTCGTTGCTGTGCTTGTGCATGTGTAGTTCAGGCAGGTAGTGTTTTTGCACCGATATAAAGTTTGTTCGACGTTTGACGTTGGATATTAGACGGATATTCAGCCGCGAAAAACTTCAATAAGTTCTTAGTGGATGAGTATAATTGTATACAAAATGGCTTCTCTGAAAAGCATTAAAACGTAGAACTGAACACACATCGCAGTTTATTTATTTTAATCGCCCTCTAGATGTTGAAACGCTTAAAGTCTAGCAGCGCCGAGCTAGCGCTTAGGTCAGCTAGGGACCGTCTACAAAGTACATGTAAAGGATAAAACGATGAATGTTTTCCCACCGGAATGTTTTTTACAATTAACAAAACAAGAGCAAATAGTGCACCAAGCTCTGAATTTAAATAAGAAATATTGTTATGTAGATATGTGATAGTGGTTATTATTACTATTAATAAATATATTAATAAAATAAAAATAATATTACAAATCATTATCATTCCATAATTTAGTGGTTATGCAGTAGGGTTATTCCAGGTCCTTGTGAGAACATTTTAATGTTTGTTGTTTTCACAGAAGTTTGACACCAAAAAACACACTATTGAAATTTAAACCAATAAATCAATTAATTTTAAATTAATACACTCTTCTGTATTAACCTCATGTCTTTGTTACTGTTTTTATAAGAACATTTTTATATTTGTTTTAGTCACAGAACTATAATAGAAAACATGGTATTGTAATTCAAAATTAAGACAAAGCTGGCAAAGAGTGTTGTTTTGACTTGAGTTTGAAAATCTAATTTTTTATAAATTAATTTATAACACACAGTTTTATTACACAACTTCAATGGGTGTGTCTTGTTACAGATTAGACAAACATTTTGATGGTGATTTAAGCCACAAAACTATAATAGAACACATATTATAGAAAGTTAAACCAATACATAATTTAGTTAAAAATAAATACAATCTTCTACCTCAGTTTCAAAGGGCACTTATGAGCCAGTTCTATTTATGAATAGTTCAAAAAGATGAGTCACTGGCTTGAATCAGTCTGAAACAAATGTACGGCATTAAGCAGAGAGAGAAGGCCTTTCATATTTAAGTAAAATGGACATAACTGAAATATATCAGAATGAAACCATAATGAAATCAAACCCAATCGAAATCGAATTTAGCAGAATCAAGTGTTTATGATTCAGAATTAAATTGAATTAAGAAATCTGTATCGATATCCATCCCTACAAAAACTAATTTAGCTAATTGCTTGGCTTGTGAAGTAGTTCACCAGCAATCTGTCTGGTTAAAGCGATAGTTCACCCAAAAATGAAAATTTTGTCATCATTTACTCACCCTCATGTCGTTCCAAACCTGTAGGAGTTTCTTTCTTCTGTTGAACATAAAAGAAGATATTTTGAAGAATGCTGTAATCAAAGAGTTGATGGTCCCCACTGACTTCCATAGTATTTCTTTCCCTACTATAGAAGTCAATGGGGACCAACAACTGTTTGGTTCTTCAAAATTCTTCAAAGTATCTTCTTTTGTGTTCAACATGATAAAGAAACTTACACAGGTTTGGAAAGACATGAGGGTGAGTAAATGGAGACAAAATTGTAATTTTTTGGGTGAACTATTCCTTTAGTGAAGTTTTGCTGGTGAACAGCATATTACTGGTCTAACAGTTAGACCTGCACCAAACCAACATAAACCAGCCTAAGTCAATATAAATTCATGATGGTCCATGCTTACACTCACGACCCAAAGAAGTGACCATCTGAGTGACATAAAAAGTAACCAGCCACAGTACTGTTTTATTGTATTTATGAATTGTTTGCTTGCTAGTTAGTGTTTCACACAAAACTGATGTCATGAACCGCACAAACTTGTGTTCTATATTCTGTACTATACTATATCTATATTCTCCACATAGTGTGTTTAGCACATATCCTGTGACTACAATATT